ATAAACGATCAGCTCGCGCTGACGTCATGGGTATTTGTGATCTTCTTCTTCTTGAATTTTAAGTAATCAATTGGTAAATTCTGTCCGGAATTATATAAAAAATGAAGACAGTTTTATTTTATCAACAGTTGTTTGATGTCTTGATAGGTTGCAATAAGATCTCTAACGAGTAAAATATTTCAAATTCACGCACAAAAAAAACATTGATTAAGGAAAAAAAATTGCTAAGATCCTATTCGCGTTATACAATTTCTTTGATGACAATGATTGTTGGACTTCTGATTTAAAAATGAAAGAAAAATATTATTATTTAGGAAAATTAATTCTACGCGATTTTAAAACTTGATTTTTTGTTAAAATATATTGCAAAAAAATCCTATAAATAAAAAAATTTATTTTTTAATAATTTTTTCGTAAAATAAAATTAAAAGATGGTGCGTACCTCTGTCATGTTATAGGCAGAAGAAAATAACTAAAAACTACGAATTTTTGCAAATCGGTGACCTACAATTAAAAACAAATTCTATAAAAAATACAGTGTTATAAAATATTAAGCCTTTATTTAAAAAAAGAACAAAACTGGGTGAACTTTTGAAACTTTAAATTCGGTAATGGATTCAACGCTTTGATGATACAGAGCGATTTCTATAATAAGTTCTGTATGAAGGATCTCAGAGATTAACTTACAGAACTAACGCAGTACTGGCGAAATAAATATTTAGCATTTCTTACTAAAATCAAAACTGATCGAACTTCTTAAACTTTAAGATCGATAATGGATTCAAAGCATGGACAATTCAGAGCGATTTCTATAATAAGCTCTGTATGAAGGATCTCGGAAATTAACTATCAGAACTAAGACAGTAGTGGCGAAATATCAAGCTTTTATTAACGAAAATCAAATTAATTTAACTTTTAACATTAAAATCGTTGATGGTTTCAATCACTTTTGTGATTCCAAGTGATGTTTACTAGCTCTGTGTGACAGATCTCACTGATTAATTAATGTTTTCTAATTACTTTACCTTTCAAAAAACTATTGTAGTTTAATAAGTTTTAACTCTCGATCTGAAGTTAAAGTCAATCAACTCAGTAAGAGCCCTGGTTAGAGAGATATATTTAAGAAAAAAGAAACATGTGAAAGATTCATAATGGTTTCCTGGTGAAGACAACAGCGTTACCTATTTTCAATTAAGTTTACGTTGGAGGTTTTTTTTTTTTTAATTAGAACTTATATCTCAGCAAAATAATCTCAATGAAATGCATTCGCGGTAGAAACCACGAAAGCATTTTAAGTCGATAATTGATTCAGGAATATCTTTATATTTTGAGTCGAAATATATGAATCGAAAGGATCTGTTACAATATTTAAATTTAATTATTAATAAAGCAAATTTGCATTTTATAGATGGAAATTTCTCATATTTCCAACTTTTATATATACTTTTTAGAATCACCATTGTTTAATTATCTTTGACTGCATTTGTGGCAATAAATACAAAATAAAACTTCCATTAATTCAACGTTTTTTTGCTTACAAAAAAAAATAAAAGGAAAATCAGACACTTAACTTCCCAACATTATTTCATTTCTTTCTTTTTTTCGGAAATAACCCATTGACCCAGCCGACTGCTGCTTTCATGTTATTACATTGCCGGTTGTGAGACCGGCTGAGCAGCTGTAACTTTTTCTTCGTATTTCTTCCTTTCTGTCAATAGATGGCGCAACATATAATGTACCACTGAAAGAAGAAAAATCAGACATTTCACTATCTTTCAATATATATATATATATATATATGTATATATATATATATATATATTCTGCAACTTTGTCTTCA